CCTTAGCCACTTGAGCCACAGGCGAATATAGTAAATATTGACAGATGTAACCAACCTTAAGTAAAAGCTCTTTGGCATCCTCAATAATTTTTTAAGAGACTTTTGACACTAAAAGTTTAAGAAACGATGATACAGATCAAAAGATCTTTTAGTTTATGTATATCATATTATTAAGTTTATTAAGTCCTTGTAAGGCATAAACATTATTTAGGTCATCTTCAAAGTTTCCAGTAAAAAGTAATGACGAATTTATCTCTTTCTTTCTAAAACTCAAACTTTTGATAACTTTTCCCCCTTGTCTTATTAGTGTAACCAGTATAATCATTAACAACTGGACTCTGGAGCCACACTGTGTTCAAATTATGGTTTTGTCACTACGAGACTTACAGCAACTTACCTAACTTTCCTGTTTTAGTTTCCTCATGTATAAAATAGGGATGATAACAATGATAAAATTAGACTACTGTTATCTTTTAAGAAAACTCTGTAATATTCTGTTGCATAAGTATGCTCAATATATTTAATTATCGTATTGAAGGACATTCATTATTTACATATTAGAAATACAACACATGTACAATGTACATTAGTATACACTAATCCTTGCCTGCTTATGTATTTCTGAAAGGGAAATGTCTAGAAGCAGAATTGCTGGACAAAAAGGCAAACACATTTTTATTTTGGTTAAGTATCGCCCCATTATTCTCTGACAAGGAAGGTCAGCTTATATTTCCACTAACAATAACTGAAATTAGAGTCAACCTTTTTCAAACCTTGGCAAACACTATATCACAATAATGTTTCAAACCACTATCAACTGGAAGCATCAATTAGCCTCTCATTTTAATATTCATTCTCTGAGCACTGAGGTTCAGCATCTTTTTATTTATGAGCCATTTCTACAGCATTTTTTGAGGTTTACCATCTTGGATACTCAGTTAATTTTTCTTCTAAACATATAAGAACACTTTATGCAGCAGGGACATGAATGCTTTCTATTACATAGTATCAACTTTTTGTGAACTGGTGGCTTATCTTTTAACTTATAAATAAGTTTTCATTTTAAAGGTGATGACATGAAACAATATTCAATAGAAATATTACTAGCAGATTTTGAGGCAAGGTATAACCTATGCTCTGTCCATAACTATTTCTACATAGAAAACTTCAAAGATTCATGCAAGCATTGAGGACTAATCATGGACTAGTATTGACTCTAGAATTGACTCTTCTCAATTCTAGAAAATCAAACTATTATTCAATAATTCTGTCCATGTTAAAGTTGGCTTACAGTACCCAAAATGCTACTATTGAACAAGGAAATATTATTTGGGTATGTTTGCTAAAATACTTATCCAAATATATATTTGATAGGGCCCTTTTTCAGGAACTGTTTACTTACTTTCCAAAAACAGGACTGAGTTCTTTTAAGTCTTCCAATGATGGTATTTGGCCCAAAAGCTTCTTAAACAGTGCCAGTGGGAAAGGGATATTGGCAACATTGAAATTGAACAGGGAGAGTCCACACAGAACCCCAAAGAAGAAATATCTCTTCTCCTCGTATTTAGGCTGAAAAGAGAAAAAAAAAAAAAAAACCTGAAGTATTATCAGCATTTACAAGTACAAATAAAGTATGCATATTAAATAAACTTTTTCCTCTTTCAGAAAATCAAATGTAAAATTAAAATGAAGAAAAACCCACGTTAAACATATTTAGGGTTTATATTTGGTCATGTCCATTTAAATCCCTGCCATGGTTTTGTTTACTGCAAGTATAACAGGAATAAAAACACATTGGGCGCAGTAATCCTTATAAACCACAGTTGTCACAATTTCTTTCCATAGCCGTTCTCTACCAATTCATCAGGAAAATAGAATGGAAACAAAGAATGAGTGCCTAACAAAGAGTTCTTTTCTATCCATACATTTTATAAATGGTCAAATACATTGCTTGAGTTTTCCTGTGTGAACAGACATGGGAACCAAGGGAAAAGGGACTCTATATTAAAGAAAGTAATCATTTCATTAGAATTGAAAATTAGCTCCCCAATTATGTCACTAACTCTTCTTCTAATACGAAATAGTTTAGACAACTTAATTTTCTGTTATGTAGCATACTTCTTCTTTCACGAAATATCATCAGCAAAGAAAAGAGGACTTACCCTGACGGGAAACCACATGTAGGAAGCTTCTTCAGGATATGTGAACATCCCATATTCTGGCTGGGTCATCTTTTCAAACAGACAACAGAAGAACTCTCTCCTGACTCCTCCTACCTCATAGCCAATTTCTCCACTAAATGAAACCTGAGCAAACAGAGCAAACACCACATCACTCAGGGCTGTGTGTCGCTAGGTAGGAAGTCTTGTCCACTAAGGAAAGTGGCCCACATTAATTATGGACCTAAGTATTTGCTAGGCACTACTGGAAACATCTTGCTCATAGTATCATATGTAATCTGTCCATTACTTCTATGAGGCTAACAAGACCTCAAGAATTTAAATAACTTTCCCAAGCTTATAC